GCCAGGGCGACTTTCTCGATCAGCTGGTATCGGGCCTCCGGGCCGTGGAGGGCTTTACTAGTAAAATAAATGGGCTTTTGTCCTTCCCCGGCTTCGCTCACGAGGACGGCGCTGACGGCTTCGTTAGAGACGGCCAGATATAAGTACAGGGTTTCGCCCGTCGCGGGGTGCGTCAGTACTGGTGGTTCGGAGAGGACGCGTTTGAGGTGGCGAAGGGCTCTCTCACATTCGTCCGTCCATTCGAACTTGGTCTCCTTCCTGAGCAGTTTGAAGAACGGGAGGGCGTGTTGGGCCGATCTCGCGATGAATCGTGAGAGGGAGGCTAGTACGCCGTTGAGGGACTGGATGGCACGCTTCGTGGTCGGCGTGGTTATGTTGGAGAAGGCGTGGCACTTGTCCGGGTTGGCTTCGATCCCCCGTTCGGTCAAGTAGTAGCCGAGGAATTTACCGGCGCAGACGCCGAAAGTGCATTTCTCCGGGTTAAAGCGCATGCGACATGATCTCGCGGTCTTGAAGACCTTCTGGAGATGTGCCGCATGGTCGTCTTCCGCGCCGGATTTGACGATCATGTCGTCCATATAGACTTCGAGCATGTCTCCGATCTCCTTGTGGAAGACGCGGTTCATCATCCGTTGGTACGTGGCCCCGGCGTTTTTGAGGCCGAAAGGCATTACGTTGTAATAGTAATTGCCCGATGCTGTCATGAAGGCCGTGGCCTGTTTGTCGTGTTCGGCCATCGGGATCTGATTGTATCCCGAGTATGCGTCCATGAAGGACAAGAGTTTGAAGCCCGCCGAGTTGTCGACGAGCTTGTCGATGTTGGGGAGGGGGTAGGCGTCCTTAGGACATGCCCGGTTGAGGTCAGTGTAGTCAACACACATGCGCCATTTTCCATTATTCTTTTTAACAAGTACAACGTTGGACAGCCAGGTGGAATACCGGGCTTCCGAAATAAAATTTGCCTCTAAGAGGTCTTTTACAGCTTGTTCGGCTGCTGCCGATTTTTCTGGAGACTGGCGGCGACGGCGTTGCACCACGGCCTTTGCGGTCGGGCTGATGGACAGCTGGTGGCAGGCGACCTCAGGGTCGAGTCCCGGCATTTCCGCGGCGCTCCAGGCGAAGAGGTCGGCATTCTCGCGGAGGCAGGCTTGGAGCTGTCGTTTCGCGAGGTCGGGGAGTCCTGCGCCTACCCTTACGGTTCTGGTCGTGTCGTCCCCGAGGGGAATGAGCTCGAAATCGCCATCCGGGATGGGGCGCGCTGGATGCTCGTTGGCCGCGTCAGTCTTTTTATTGTCGAGCTCGTCGGTGAAGCGACTGTCGAGCTCAACTGATCCGACCAGCTCTGTTGGCTTGTCCTTTGGCGTAGCGCTCGGTGCTTTCTTTTTGGTCGGTGGAGCGATGGAGTCGAAGCCTTTCAGTGCGGCTTCAAAACACCTTCGGGCAGCTTCGATGTCGCCGTTGAGGGTGACCACGGCTCCCCTTCTCGTGTAATATTTCATCTTCAGGTGGGCGGTGGAGGGTACCGCGGTGAGCTCTGCTATCGTTGTCCTGCCCAGGATGCAGTTATACAGGGACGGGCATTCGATGACTAAGAAGCGGATGCTGATGTCCCTGGCCGTTTCCTCTTCCCCAAAGGTGACTTTCAGTTCCACGTATCCCCAGGGTCTTGTCGTCGTCCCGTTGAACCCCTGGAGGTCGGAGCCTACGTAGGGGGAGAGGTTGGACTCGCTGAGCTGGAGAGTCGTGAACAAATGTGAGTACATTATGTCAACCGAGCTCCCTCCGTCGACGAGGAGGCGCCTGACGTCGAAGTTTGCCATACGTGCGCGTATGAGCAAGGGTATGTTGGAATTGGGAGATCCCCCGGGTAGTTCCTCGAGGTAGAACGTGATCGGGTTGGAGCGGCCTCGGAATCTGTCGAGCGTGCTCATCTTACCGGAGTTGCCCGCGATGAGTTCGTCGAATTTCCTTTTCACAGATCCTATGGACAGACTCCTCGTAGCGCCATCAGAGATGACCATGGCTCTGGGGAAGTATTCCCATCGGCTGGTTGGTCGGATTGGCTCGCCGACTAAGCTGGGTGCTTCGGGGATGCCGAGTCCTCTGCTTGCGAACCAGTCCTCGGGGCGGCTGACGCACAGCGCGACCTGGAGTCTCTCACCGTCTTCTGGGCAGGGGAGCTCCTCGATTTTCTTTGCCTCCGGGGCCTCCGATCTGGGTGGTTCACCTCCCCGGGTGTATCGCTTTAAGTGCCCATCTTTGATTAGGATTTCGATCGCATCTTTGAGATGGATGCAGTCTTCCGTTACATGCCCGTGGGTCCTGTGGAACCGGCAGTACTTTGACTTGTCCACGTTGGGTTTGGGCGGCGTTGGTCGTGGAAAACGGACACCTCCCTGCACAAACTCGGTTTTAGCGCATTCGGCCAGTATGCGTTCGCGGGAAGCGACCAAGGCGGTGTACTCGGTGAACCTTCCTGCCGGGCCGCGCGACTCGCGCTGTTCGCGGGGTTCGCGGTGGCGGTCGTCCCGACGGCGGTCCCCTCCTCGCCGGTGGCTCGAAGCTCCGTCGTCTCGGTGCCCGCGGGGGGCTTCTCTGTCTCGGGTGTCGCGGGCGGAGTTGGCCGCTTGTGTTTCCTCGAACCGGATGTAGTGGGCGGCCCTGTCGAGGAAGTCTTGGAGGGACGTGGGCCGGTGTATGCCCACGGCCTCGTAGAATTTGGAGTCATGGCGCAGGCCTTGCTCCATTAAGTAGCGTTTCATTTCGTCGGAAGTCGTCACCTGTACGGCTTCCCGAGTAAATCTTTCGATGTATTTCCGGAGGGGTTCGTCGGGGCCTTGGATGATCGCCCCGAGGACTGCTTCCGTCTTCGGGTGACGCCGGGACGCTGTGAAGTGTTTGGAGAATAGGTCCTTCAAGACCTTCCACGATGTAACTGATTCGGGCTCCAGGCTTTTGTACCAGGTCATAGCGCCTTTCCTCAGAGTCGTCGGGAAGAGTCTGCATTTGATAGCTCCCCGGACATTGCGGTAGTCGAGCATGGCCTCGATGTCTTCCAGATGATCGTCCGGGTCGGAGGTGCCGTCGTACGTTGACAGCGTCGGTGGCTTCTCCATTCCTTGGGGTATAGGGGCCGCCATGATCTCCCGGGATAGTGGGGTGCGGTAGTCATCCTCGTCGCTGTGCGCCGGGGATCTCAGGGGGGATGAGCCGGTCGCGGTGTGTCCCGGGTTTCGGGCCCTCGATCTCAGGCCTGTGCTCCCGCCTCGGGTTTCCTCGGTTGGGGTCGCCGCGGCGTTCTGGTTCCTCCCGCGACCGTGTCTTGCCGGGGATCTGGTGCGTTCCCGTGTCGCTTGGGGGCGGCGTCTCTCCAACCGCGGTCGGCGGTTCCTGGGTCGAGGTGAGGGGCTCCTCGAACCTCCGTTCTGGTCTTCCCGCTGGGGGTACCTCGGGGAGCCGCCGCGTTCCAACGCTCCAATTCTAGCGTTCTGTTGGGACAGCAGCTGGTTCGTCTGGTTGATGGCTGCAAAGAGGGCGGCCACCGTGGGGTCCGCTCCCGCCGGGATGGGAACAGGGTGGAATGCCGGCGGGCTCGGGGGGCGATGGTCGGCGTGCAGGGGCCTTTCCTCGGACGATGGCGAGGCGGTTTGCCCGTCTCTTTCGTCGGCTTCATTCAGGCGCGCCGTTCCTACCTGCTTCCCGTTGGTGGCAGTGTTGAGCGCGAGATCGAGCGGAGTGTCGTCGCGGCGTGGGCTGGCCATAACCGTGGAGGTTTGGTGAAACTTTTGGTTTTTCTGCTCGGAGTAACGGGGAAGTTTCCGTTCCCACAGACGGCGCCACTGATCTGACCTGATCAGGAGGGATCACGGACTGGCCACGCTTCGCCGGACGGTTATCTGTTCGCCGAGGTAAGAACGAGGAAGGGGTGTACCTGCAAAGCACTCCGACGCCCAAGTAAGAAGTTGGACAGAGAGGAAGCAATAGTACAGAAAAGGGGGGCAAGAAGAGTTACCTGACCCTCTTGAAGAAGAGGGTATTTATAGAGAGACCCCAGCGCTGGGCCAACGGTCATTCGAGGTGGGCCAGACGACCAGGCCCAACCCTAATGACTGCTAGGGCTTACGTGGCGTAGTGAAGACCAGGACGTGGTCTTCGCCCTAGTTCAACCGCTCCTAGGTCTCCGGAAAGTGGGTTTGACCTGCTCTTTCGGAGGTGGGCGGTTGGCCGATGACGTGTCCCCGCGGAGGGGAGCACGTGGAGAACGTGCGCCGAGCACATTATTCTCCCGCGGAGGGAAGCGTATGGATAACGTGCGCCGAGCACGTTATTCTCCCGCGGAGGGAGCCCGGGTAGTCTCGCTCGTCTGGTGTGACGGGCGACGAAGGGGATGCGGCGTGATGGCTTGTGCCCGGCGGACGGTCCTGCTCGTCCGAAGGGGCGTGTGCCAGGTGTGCCCAGTTCGCCTGTTGGGCCGTATTTGGTATTGGGCCTGCCGAGGTGAGGCCCACACCGGAACAGTAACATAATTATTATTCAAAATTTATTTATCTATTGACTAGATTCTGAATTATAAGGTTACCTTTCTTTTAAAAACTGGAGGATTAAGACAATATTTTCTTTAGGTTTCTTTGTGCTTAGTTCGCTAAATATAACATTGTTGAGTTAGATTTGTATTTTGGTACAGATTGTAATATTTTATTAAAATTTCTAAAATATAAAATAAAATAAAAACTCTAAATCAAAGGAACAATATATAACAATCTAAAATTTGTCTCAGGAGATTGTTTTTGTCTCAAGAGAATAACAATCTCCAAATTCAAAACTTAAGAAAAATATACACAGAAAAAGGAATGACTAGCTGGATATTCTCAATCATTCCTAAAAAAAAAATAAAAAAAACAGAAACTCATAATAATTCTAGGAGAACTCAAAAAAACGACAACATAATCTAACACTTGTTTACTAATTTTGTCTTTACCAAACAAACAAAAAAGAGTTAGTCATAAGTTTCTATCATGAATATGACCAATTGGGTCTTGAATTTGATCCATAGAAGAAATAGATGTTCTTTTGATGAACTCCAAACAATCTGCAATAGCTTCTGCATAAAAAGAATTATTCATTCCATGAGATGAAACTCTACAATCACCTTGATTCTTTCCTCTTTCCTCTTTCATTAAACCATTCCTACTACTGTTGCTGTTGTTTCTTTTCAATCCACTTTTTCTGCAGAAAACTTTCTTCAACAACCCAAAAGCTTCTGCATGTGAAAGTTTCAACTTATCAAAGAATCTTAGAAAGAAATCGACCCTTTTGCGTAGCCGCGAAAAGTAAAGTCTTGTGAGGTTCAGCCTAAATCCTCTGCATTTTCCATGGCAAGATGATGATGATGATGATCCTTTACTGCTGCTGCTAACTCGGTTGTAACTTATTTGACTCATTTTTTGGCTTGTGTTGGGTTTAGGATGCAACCTTTGTTGTGTGTACAAATATATAATGTTGGATGGTGAGGTAATGATGGTGTGAAAGAAAATGAAAGAGAAAGCTTGAAAATTTGTGGATTTGGACTGTTTTGGAACTTTGGACGGTTAGGTAATAGAAAGACAAAGGAGTTTGAACTTTGAGGTGTATTATCTGTGACCTGGATTTAGCTTAAAACACTTGTATATGTTTAAATACTAGTATTGAAAATGATTGAGAGTCGCCTTGAATAACATATAGTCTCAAAATATTAGGGGCGGTAGTTAAAAGACGAACAGGTTTAATCTGTTTTGTTACCCTTAAAATTAGTTATTCTTTTATAATAGTCGAGTTAAAATTATACTAAACTTTAAAATAATAGTATAAGTCTATTTAAAATCTACTGAATGGTTTACAAATTTTAACTCAACGGATAGTATTGAATTGAACGTTATCATCAAGATTCAAATCTTGATATTTATGTTTATATGTGTTAGTTTTTAGTAATTACCATTATATCGGAAAAAAATATTTGTTGAGTTGTATGTTATTGAATTATTGTCATCTAATTACTAGAGTCGCATGTAAGAATAAACATGTTATGAAAATGTGATTGATATGATTTATGCAATTTTGTGTATTCATTTTAGTATTGTATTAGACATGCATTAATGTTGTGTATCTATCAATTATGGTGAAGCTAAACATGATATTGTAAAGATAGCTAGGAATGGGTGATAAACAATGAAACAACAAAGTGTTGAATAATTGATTGGTGTGGTAGGGCCATAAGGGGGCAAAGGGAAATGAGAAAAGGATAAAAAATGCCATGGATTCTTTTTCAAAGTAGGTGACTAAAGCAGAAAAGGAATAGGATAATGAGTGATCAAGTTGATTAGCCTAATATTATAATATGAATTTTAAAACTTTGTTAGTCTAACAAAGTTTGACTTGTGAATTGGCTTTTATGTAGAGTGACTAGCTTTCTTATTAAGAATGTGATTGTGGCATACAAATTTGTTTTATCGTTGTATAGCTTTAATGATAAATAACAAACTTTGAGGACTAATGGTCACTTAGATTTATGATGTCTTTAATTGCTACAGGTTTGTGTCTAAAGATCCACTAGTCTTCCAAAAGCGTTGCTGATCCACAGTTTTCTTTCAAAATTATTGAGGTTGCCTTTAACACCTACTTTATAAAATAATAGTATTATTGTCATTAGGTTAGTTAATTTGGAACTTTGAGCTCAGATAGAGAGATGAACTAGTGTATGGTTTTTGAATTGACTTGCTCACCAAGTCACTCCAATTGAGGATTTCAATTAGTTCTAGCTGTGTGTATGTCAGGTAAGACGAAAAGTAATTATTGGTGTCTCAAGAGTGATTTAATTAGATGTCTTACACTTAATAAAAAATGAATGACAAATACAGATAAATTTAATATATTAAAAATTTAAAAGTTTTATATAAATGTAAATTTATTAGATATTTACTAGGGAGATTATTCATTTATTTGACTCAAAAGCTTAGGTATTGAACGTGCGATAGAAGAAAAGTTAGATAGTGTTTTACTTTTTCAACCAAACTACAATTAAAGTTATTATATCATAATTTTATCATATTTTACCATACTATAGCCTATTATTTGTCATACCAAAATTTCATATCAAAATAATCTTGAATTTAATGGCATTAAATTAAAATTTTATTACATTTTTTATTAAAACGAAAAGCATTAAGCTAAAATAGATAGGCAGGCAAGTGCTTATATACTTTAATGAATGATTATCTGAGTATTAGTATTTCTCTTTACATTGATTAAATATAGTATATATTTAAGTATACATAGAGTATTTCTCTTTCGCTGCCATATTATTTAAAATCTTCTTTGACTGAAGCGTCATTAGAGTTGATGACCCGTGCAAACTTTTTAAAAAGAACTATTACATCCTCAAGTACACAACAAGTAAGTTTTTTGTCCAAAATTTGGAGTCATTGGATGTCAAGCATCTCCAAGAAGGCTTCCCAGCTCATCATATTGTTTTTCTATGACAAATAAATGCAATATCTATTGATGATGCTTTGGTACCAAAAATCAAATAGCCAACTACAAAATTACTACATTAAAAATAACATTAAAATAACTATGATTAAGAGATAAACTTGACATGAAGCATTAGAAATAAATTTATATTCAAATGAGTAAGAGATTGCAAGAAATATATTTCAACTTTGTCTCTCACGTTCTGCAACAACTACTAAAGGTCACCATCCTATTTATAGAACTCTAAAGTCTGTTGTTAAGTAACTTACTAACAATATGTAACAGTAAAAGTAAAGATATGAAATGCATATGCAACAATAGTTTTCTATACATTCTTCATTACCAATTTGAAGTTAAAAACAACAAATTTATATGATGAAAAAGAAAATTCTTCAAAATAGGAAGAAGAACAGTTCATCAGATGAGGTAATGATAACAAAGTAGATAACAAGAATTGAACTCAAAATCCAACTCACAACTCATATCTAAAACGTGTTCTACTTTTTTATTTGAATCTTTCTTCGATGATTTCTCTGCATCCAACAAAATACAATTAAAAAATGAAAAATGAACAAATTTTGCAAAAAAGCTCAAAAATTCAAAACTAGAGTAGATACCTTCAATGGCTCAATGCTTCCCTTTGTAGTAAGAAGATTTTTATGGTCTGTAAGCTCACATTATCCTTTTTACATACTAAAAACACAATCAAGAACATATTTCATAAACAATAAAAAAAAACATAGAACTTTCCATGGTTTCCCTCACCGACTTGGACGTTCACGAGGTTTCTCCGAAGCCCTGGTCTTGGGAGCTAGAGAATGTCTTGTCTTTCGGGGAGATGTACAATGTCATTTCTTCGTGATTTCTTGTCATGGTTTCTCCAATTTTGATCGTTCCTTGATTGGAGAAATGCTTCGAGACTCGTTTCGCCGACGTTTAAGATGGGGAGAACGAGAACGGGGAGAAGGACTATAAGGTCTCTGTGGGAGAGGTTGTTCTTGAAGGGCGTTTTCCAGCATGTGAATCTTCTCGCCCTACTGGAAAATCATGTAGTTAGATTTGTTAAGGGTGGCGATGAGGGTCGCAGTGCTAGGATCAGTGTCTTGAGAAACGAGGATGGGCTCGTAGATGTGATCGGAATTTTGGATGCGGGGTTTCACGTTGTCGGGCGATGGAGAGGCAGTCTTTTCATCCTTGGGATCGGTCTTGTAAACTACAACGGCAGGATTAGGGTTATCGTTGTTATCCAAGACGACGACGATGGCAGACTCTTGAGGGACATCATCGTTATAGTGAGAGGCCATGACGATCGAGGAAGGTTTAGAAAGAAACGCTTTGGTCTTTGGGTTGAAAAGATTGGGGATCTTGGTTCAAAAAAGACGGGGAGCAGATTTCTCATAGACGACACCACTGATCTGGAATGATCAGAATGGATCGTCGTGGCCTTCAATATAGGACAACAACAATGGTTGTAGGAGAGGAGGGGGTGTACCTGCAAGACACTCCGATGCAAAAGTAAGTAATAGGGAGAGAAACAGGGCAAGTACAAAGTGTTTAGGTTTGTGTTAGAATGAATTAGATTGAATTGAATCTCTGGCCTTCTCAAATGAGAGGGTATTTATAAGAAACCTCCAGTGTGGGGCCAAGGTCCTCATTGTGGGCTAGGATATCTGGTCTACCAATAAGAGACTGTCAGGTTTGCGAAGAGTAAGGAAGATTCTAACGTGTGATCTTCGATCTGGTCCAACTGTCCCCGTGAACTTCGGAGGGGCAGTTGGTTGCATGAACTGTGGACTGTGTGAGGGGGAGGTCCCCAACGGCTATAATGCTCTAATGACTATATTCTCCCCAATGGCTATATTGTGCTCAACGGTCATATTGTGCCCAACGGTTAGATTGTGCTAATCTCATTGTTGGGCCTTGTCTAAAGCTGGACTGAATTGGGCCTTGCCCAACTGTGGGCCACCTGTCAGTCTAGTCCAGAACATTCATAAATCATGTTGAGGAATATGAGTGACCTAGATGGAATTTATCCTTCTTGCATAACAGGATAAGTGTCTAAGTGTCCAATATTTAATTGGACAAGGGTGTCACAGTCTACGTCTTGTGTTCAATATACACATGAGGGAAAAGGATAATCATACACATAAACATTATCACATAAAGGTTTTGTCATATCATATGACATTTTGGTGACTTGGGTAGTAATGATGTGTTGCTAGATATCGCTCATTGTTTATTATATTAAATATGTGATTTGTTATAATTGTAAATGTCATGAGAACCTACATGGTCAGATACATAAGGATAGATTAATGGGAGAGAAAAAATAAGTGAAGCTTATTCAATTATGTGGTCTTGCAATGCAGAGGCGTTAATTAAAGAAATATGGTATGCCGTAATGTACAACATCCTTAAAAAAAATATGAAACATTGTAAGGTATGATGTACTTAAATGAAATAATGAAAATCGTAAGGTATGATATACTTAAGTAAAATACAGTACACCATAAGGTACAATAGTGGATTTGTTTAGCTTGCATCCCACACAAGTGATTTTATATATAAAACTCTTATGATGAAGTATTTGTTGCTTGATCAAATTAGGTTTGTGAAACCTCTCTCTCTCTCTCTCTCTCTCTCTCTCTCTCTCTCTCTCTCTCTCTCTCTCTCTCTCTCTCTCTCTCTCTCTCTCAAAGTCTTTATTCGTAGCAGCTAGCACTGAGATTGAAGACACAATGTTCGTGTGAACAAAGTATAGGTGTTGTTCTTCCTTTAGCGTTCATGATCGCTCTATAGATTATGCTTCAACGATTAATTATCACAAGAGATAAATATTTTATCATTGAACATGTTCATTCATAAGGATCAGTTAAGGGAAATTTTTATTTTTCGTTACATTTTATATTGCCTTTTTACTTCATGCATGTGTTTC